ATTTTTTAATATAAATTTATAATAAAAAATATTTTTAATCTATTAATATTAATATTAATTTTTATATTTTTTAATATAAATTTATAATAAAAAATATTTTTAATCTGTATTTAAAAATAATAATTAAAAAAAAACTTTTATTTATTTAGTAATGACTAATGTACGCCGCCTCAGACCCTAGGGCTGACTGTTGACCCAACAAACCCCAATAAACTGCTGGTTTTTTGTTTTATTAATTTCTGAGTCTCTAGACAAGACCCATTCCAATCTTGACAAGGCAGTTAGTAATTCCAAGCACGGCTCTACAAGACCCATTCCAATCTTGACAAGTCAGTTAGCAATTCCACGCACGGCTCTTCTTGCTTGCACCAATCAATTCCATTAATGTTTAATAATGATAGCCCTCCCTTGACGCTCGCCATCTGGTCTGGTTGCTTATCCATATTATATATATGACTTTCAAAATGGACTTGATACCTTATGCATTCTACATGCACCCCCAAAAACTTTTAATTAAATGTAAAGTCAATCTGCGCTGTAATGTTGAACCACGTAAAAATTATTATTTAAATTTAATATAAAATTTAAACTTACTCAATTAAAACTTGAAAGATACCTACCTTCATATTACTACAACAGAAGTTGTACTTTATTATTGTAAATAAACATTCCATATGCTCTTAAAAACTACATATATTTATATAGTCTACAACTTTATTCCATCACTTCCATAAGTTTCTCCAGAGTCACGAAATTTTGCAGCCTTACTTTGGATCTCCACCTATTTAAAAGATCCATTGAATCCCAAACGGTTGCTGAAAATAAGACATCGTTAACTGACTACTGATGGAGGAGCATCGGGTTGCTTCTCTGGCATCGCATCTTGAAATGGCGGCAACTCAACATATGCATCATTCAACCGAGACAAGAGAGGGAACTGAACCTGCAAAAAGATGGTAGAAGAAAGGAGACTTTGAAGGTGTCCAGAATGAATGTAAAACCCTAAAGTCAGACTTCCTCATCCTTACCAGAATCAATGGAAAACTAGACGGGAATAGTAGATTAGTAAATAGTTACACTACAAAACTAATAATGGAGCCAAATATTCTACAAGTGCACAAGTTTGTCCTAAAAGGATGAAGAAACAGCACACAAGATCAAAGATATCTGCAACTACAAGTCATTATTTGCATCATAATGGCCTAAGTTACATTCAAACTAACATCAATTAAGTGTAAAACTGGTAGAGAAGTTCAAGCAACAAGCATTACCATGTCAATATTGAACCTCTTAATTGCTCCATGAATCTGTGGTGCTAGAAACAAATCAGCCTGCAAAAGTTAGCCTGTTAGGTTTGAGACATCTCACATTAATGAGACCAGGTTAAATGCTATCACAAAATCTCTTGTCCTCCAGAGCTATTAGAACTGAAGTTTAAAGAAAATTACCTAATGAAGCTCAGACAGTGATGTGTTGATATCAAAAACATTATTGAATAGTATGTCAAAAAACTATCATTTTGACAATGGTTGGACCATTTTCTTGGAAAATCTAGACCCATGATTTGAGAACAAAGCTGAAGCAAGGCGTATTGCCACCTCCTCCCCCCAAAAAATAAAGGGGAAAAAAAAAAAAGTGGGTGTATACCTTCGACATCATACTCTGCAGTGAGAGAAAAGTAACAAACCAAATTGGTTGAAGGTAAGACTAAAATTCCAACCTCTAATTTGCCAAAACTTCCTGTGGGAAAGTATATGTAGCTTTGACTGTGAACTCCATAAAACACTATAAGGGTGCAAAAACAAGAGCAAAAGAAACAAACCAAGAAGACTTCATCTCCAGTTGCATATCGTCCTGCATGGTCTTTTAGAAGCTTCTCGAGTGCTAAAAAAAAAACAGTAGAGATTGGAAATAAACAAGCAAATCAAGCCCGGGTCTTGAATTCAATATATAGAGAAAGTAAGCATCAGAATGAGAAGATATATGTGTTTTTAAAATTTTTTTTTTTTTTAAATGATGTTGAATATTGGCAATTAATTACCTTGAAAGCCTTTGGTAATGTGGTATGTGACCCAAGAGAGTTTCTCATCTGCACTGACTTTTTCCTCAATATATTTCTGTAAATATAATATAATAGATATTATGTTAATTT